ATTTAAAATTTACTCAAATGTTTGGTTGAGGCATAGCTGAAATTTTTTAACACTGTCACTAACCGCTGATTTTAGCCAAAAGTTTTAAACTCACTACGAGATTATTCTCTCAAGAATGCCGATTAATGGTTAAGAAATGTACTTTTAAATCTCGATAAGCAAATATTATTGTAAAAATAATTAACAGGATTTAGTACAGTAGTTTTTTAATTAGTACAATATCATTATTTTTCTATCATAATAACTTTAATAATTTCAAATTAATAATTTAAAATTATTGCTTACTCCTGATATTTCGATTAAATAATAGCAAGTGTACCCTAATGAAATGAACCTAATAAGTTTGATTATTTTAAGCATTATAACATCTGTTAAACATGATAAAAAGGTGACTTTTTTGTAGATTAATAAAACAAATAATTATAATCCCATTTAGTACAAGTGTTTTCAATGGGCAACTTTTCGGACAGTTAATAGAACATAACTTTACTGATTATCATAATTAGTAAACTAGATAACCATGTGATAAATTTATCAAAACACCATATGGCAATAAGCATAATTCTTAATCTAAGTTATTAGGGACACAAAAACATTAAACGACAAAAAAACATACTACGTTAGTAACAAATTAACCATGAAGTTGTCCATAGCATTCTTGGTGGCCGGAGCTGTACTCCTGGTGGAGGCCGAGCTAATGACACCTCAACAGAGGCTACGGTGCGAACAGTTTATCAGTTTCTTTGAAAACGAAACCATTGAAATACAGTACGACTACGTGGAGGATATGCACGACGGCCGGGGCTATACGTGCGGTAAGTTTGGCTTCACTACCTGTACGGGCGATGCGTTGGATTTGATTCAGAAATATACGGCCAAAAAGCCGGCCAACCCTTTGGCCCCATTCCTGCCTGAGTTGGAACGACTCGCCCGTGAGTTCAGTAACGATACGTCAGGTTTGGGCGGATATCCCGAGGCGTGGAAAACGGCCGCAAAGGACCAGTTGTTTAGAGACACTCAGGACGAGGTCAGCGCCGGTATGTCCTACTAGTAAGTGGTTTACATATTTGTTTTATTGCACTTTGAATAAGTTGTTTGATAAATAAACAAGCTTGCTGTTAATTTTGCCATTATTTGATCTAATTGATCTTACTAATGACATGGTAATATTTTAAAATAAAAACATGCATAAAACTATTATGATGTTGTTTGCGATGTCCTTCGCCAATTTAAATTCTACCTACTAGTCTAATTAACGTACGATTTATTGTAAATTATGTTTACAGTTTTTATTCAATTATTTATATTATTTTATTTTGTGAATTTTTTGGTGTAGCTAAACTTTTATACATTTAATAATAATTACATCTTTAATAACTATAGTTATATAAACTAAACAAAAATAATGTCTTTCGTTTCAAGTCCATTTAATAATATTTAATTTTAAATTTTAAAAAGTTAATTTTAAAAAATATATAATTGCAGCTTTTGTTAATAGTTTTACAACATTAGTTTTGATCAATTACAGTAGTTTATTCTTTCCTAATCTTAAAAATACAGTAGACATTCGGTTTTAACACTTCGTCGGGGCTACCAAAAATATGTGTTATAATCGAATTCTGTTAAAATCGAATATAATTATATATACATTAAATGACTCAAACGCTGTTATAATGTTGTCTTTTTAGGCCATAATTAACAAAATGTTGTTTAAAATGATTATATAATCGCATAATTTCATTATAATCTACTTTTTATTAATTAATTTTATATTTAATCTCAATTTTGAAAGTCTTTTTTTCATTTTCTGTCAACATTTTCATGAAAAATGTGGAAAAACATAACATTTTTAACAAAACACAACAATGTGTTATAATCGAACCATGTAGTTATGCTGTACAGGCTTAGAAAATATGCTGTTATAATCGAAATCTGTTATAAACGAAAGTGTTATAATCGAACCATTTAACATTACAGTGTCCATAGGGCTTGCCCGGGCTTACAAAATCTTATGTTAAAACCGAATTCTGTTATAATCGCAGCTGTTAAAAGCGAATGTCTACTGTAATATATTTAACAATTATTTAATAATTATTAAATTAAAAATACACAATATAATTAAATCGCCTGATAGTTGAACTAAATCATTTAAAAGAAGTTGATATAATTTAAAATAATGTATCCACCAATTTTTGCCAAATTATTAATTTATACAGTGCTTTATTTATTACACTTTTGAATGTAAGTTGCATTTACAGTTTATAAAGCTTTACTAAATTATTAGATTACATATAATTTTATAATTATTTTAAGATAATATATTTTATTTAATATTTAGATAAATAAGCAACATATTACATTATCATCTTCACTATTTAGTTAAATAATATTTTTCAAATAAATTTTACAAAAAGTACTTGAAATAAAATAACTTTATAAATTGACCATATATAAAATTTTACAAAATTTTAAAATAAATGTTTTATATGTGTCATATATTTATTACATTATTATTTTTAATAAATAAAAATAATACGAATATTATGCTTAACACAAACTATTAAGGAATTTGTATAAAATTAAATTACAAAAATATCATTGGTTGACATTCTCCGTAAATAAGCATAATAATTTAAAAATAAATATCATATTTATTGTTAACTAAATATTTACAGTTCTTACTATTATAAAAATTAATAAAATAATTTATAATGTAAATCTTTATGTATATTATAATAAATAAAGTAATAGAATAAGATCCATGGAAATATTAAACTTAACAGCTAAAATATTATATAAATTATATAATAAAATATATTACAGTCCGGCCATAAAATACGCGGAAAGGGCGGGCATTGCGACAGCTATGGGCAAGTGTGCGATATATGACTGCATAATTGAGCATGGTAACAACGATGACGGCGACTCATTGGGCGCCATATTTAACCGCACGTGGGATAAGGAGAAGGGAGGGGTGAAGAGTGCGGCGACCGAACAGTATTGGATCCGCTCTTTCCTGAACATGCGTTTAGACGACTTCGACAATCCCAGGGAACCCATCAATATTGAACACCACACCTATTGGCACGATATGTCTGTCCAACGTGTGTACGCCATGATCACAATTCTTAACGAGTATAATATGAATTTGGACGGTCCAATTTATATTAAAACCCAAGATCATCATGGTACTATACCGTAATTAAATACTTGTTTTTATGGGTATTGCTTGTTGGGAAATTAAGTAATTTCTATTTAATTCTATATATTGTAATAAATTCAATTTTAAATAATAAAATTGTTTAATAAAGTATTTGTGAATTTTTAATACGCTTTATATAGAAAATATAATATTTTTGTCATAAGTATACAAGGTTGTAAATTACATATTTTTTTATTACATTTTAAATTCTATTTAAATAAAAATCTATCCTGTTTTAATTAATTTTGTTCTATGAATTTTATAAAACATACATACATGTATTTTACTACTAATACTTTATACTATTATAATTTATATTAATCTTTTATATATTGGTCAACTTACAAGTTAGTTATTTTACCTTGTCATTTGCAGTGTTTATTAATTTAAAATTATTAATCTAAAACTTTAACCTAATTTAATTAAAATTGTAACAACAATTTCTTCACTTCCATTAGGATTTCAATCTATTTCTATATATTTGTCATAAATAAATGTAAATTACATTTACAGCTTTTACGTAAAATACAAGTGCATACTATAAATATAACCATCAAACAGCCCGGCAATGAAATGGGCGGACTCGGCAAACATCCGCACAGCGTTGGGCCGATGCGCGCTATACGACTGCATAATTGAGCATGGTGGTG